CACCCCCTCCACCCCCAACACCCATCCCCTCCTGCCAATCCCCACCCAAACTTACGCCACACAACTCCAATTCTTCCCCTTCGTGTACCTGATCCCTGATCTGTTTGAGGAAGGGGAGCGCCACAACATCATAAAGGGCGTCCATATTATTGTTTAAATCATAAACCATCATCTGGCATGTAGCATGTCACGAAGCTCGACTCGAATGGCCCCGGATGTATCTTGTCCACAACTAACAGATCGATAAAACGGATTTGTATTTTGTATTTATTAGGATAATTTGTTCATGATTGACATTTTACGTTATAGACGAATAATCAATATGCATTGTAAGTGTCATCATTTCATATTTTTTTTATTTATTTTTTTATCTAGGATTACTTTTCTTTCAATTGCTACATATGTTAATGGTTAATACCGAAATGAATATATTCTTTTATTATATTGCATTGTTTTTTTTGTTTTTTTATCTCTTATTACAATTCTTAAAACGCTCCAATATAATTAATGATTTAGAAAACTAATTACCTGTCATATAGCTAACATTGCAATATTTAGGTATTAATGAGGTTTTAGGATTAATATTGGAGATCACCACTTATAAGGCCAGAACGTGTTGTCAATTAAAGACTTCACAAAAAGCCTTGAGATTTCCCCCTATCGTCATGTTGACTTTTCTCACTATGCCTTATGTCATCCATTACTCTTAATGCACGCGTGGCCTTTGCGCCGGTCTATCATTTTTTTTCTTCTAACATGCAGATTGAAATAGGTAGTAGAGAATATTGATTTCTGTGTTTCTAGTCCCGACACGCTGATCCTCAATTATTTGTTTTAATGCTTCTGTCCATCCGCCCGTCCTGAATAGATGTATTTGATAATAATTAAATAAGAGTACTCGGACGATTTTCGAACTTGACGTGTAAAAATTGTTTATGTGATATAAATGGGGTATTAATTAAATCTGATTGATTGATAAAGCGGATACGATTTTGAATTGCCTGTTTTCCCAAGTGCATCGTTTGATGATTTTTTTTTTTACAAATGTAAATATTATCTTTGTGTGGTGTTTACTACATCTGAAAAACACAGCTGTGAATATATTTCCGATATGATAAATTCTTCAGTGGAATGATAAAGAAAATAAAGCATTAGACATTTCAGCATCTGTAGAATTAAGAAAATGATTTAATTAATCCCATTTACAACGCGTCGCAAATTCCAATCTCGAAAATTTAAACGTTGTTCTTGTTTCTCTAGAAAAGTCCAATAAAAAACATTTATTTTGTCTTATAGGCGAACAACAACAACCGGAACCGGGTGGGGTTGTCTTGCGTGAATTGTGGGACCACCACTACCACCCTCTGGCGGCGGAACGGAGAAGGAGAACCCGTATGTAACGCGTGTGGCCTCTACTACAAACTGCACCAGGTAACATAATTTCTATGATTAAATAACCAACGTTATCAGGTAGTGCTGCGATTCTCGGAGTCTTTTTCTGACTGTCCAAGAACAGTCTTTGTGCTATATTAGTCTCGTTCAACCAGACTCTTGTTGTCTCACAAAGTGATCAAGCGTCTGGTTGACCGAGTCTAGTGCTATATCAACAGTTGATGATATGCATATCACTAGCATGCTCTCCTCCAGAGTGTTCATTGGCATTGTGTTGAGCCAATCTTTTTACATTGTCATGTTCCAAGTCAATAAGAACTGTTCAATACATATTGTGACAGTACTCGTTCTGAGTATAATTTCTTGTCCTGCCCGTAACTTTAAACCGTTAAAGATTAATAGAATATTCCCCTACCTTGAAGGTGAGAAATACAACCAAAAGCGCACCCAGAGGGTTGGAGATTTCTCTGTTACACCCTTAAGGTGGGGAGGGGGGGGGGGGGGTATTTTTCTCCCATCCTATTATTTCAGTAACAAATCCACCGACAGTAGTGTAAACAAAAAAACATACGGGGTATGAATGCCGTCATTCACTTTTGATGATGCCACAGTTACCGGTGACACATTTTATTACGTAACCGTTGAACACGTGCTAATCGGCACGACGTTATCTCCCCCTAGAGAATGACAAGCTGATCTTTCCCGGCTAAAATGGGAGAAACACCTTTGAAGGGTTGGGAGAAATCTTGGTGAATCTTGCAGTATACCCTAACCACTCATAGACGATGTGCAGTGCACTATCATTAGGCAACTGCTACCTAAACATCAAGGTCTAACGTCAAATAAGTGCAAACTTTTCACGATCATCTTGTCCGGGCCGTATAATTTAAATGATTAAATATACCATGCTGAATCTTGCGGTTTACCTGCATTAAACACAAATAATGTGCAGAGCACTGTCAGTGGGCCATTTTGACCATGACTTCAGGGTCAAAGATCAAATAAGAGCTTACTTTTCAGATATCGTGATTAAACTGGCAGTATGCCTGCATCAGTCGCAGACAATGTGCAGTACACTGTAACTAGATCACTGTGACCTTGACCCAAAGGTCAAATAAGTGCAAAGTTTTCAGGAGCATCTTGTCCCGACTGTTACGTTAAAACGGTTAAAGATATCATGATACAACATGCAGTATACCTGCATCACAAGATACAATAATATTTATTTAACGTCGCATACCATAAACATACAAACATTAGCTCGGTAGAGCTATTTCTGCGACAAATAGGCAATGTGCTATGAATGGAAGTTATACGTTTTTGTTGGCAAACACTAATCTCAAGTTACAGTCTTAGTATTATACTAAACCTCTGTCTGAGGGGTTTTAATCGCCATTATTGGATATTGTTGACAAGCACTGTACCCCATTCGTAGGTTAAGAGAATGATAGCCGGATAGTCAATTGAAAATGACAAGGTTTTGCGTTTAACTGATTTCTTTTTGAAAACTAAATTAATATTGCAGGGTTCCGTATATAAAGAATCATATTTCCGAGTGTTTAATGAAATTTTACAAATCAATATAAAACTTACCCAAGTCATGCTCTTTTATTTAATGTTTGAGTATTCCATAGTGTAGAGCAAATTTAAATACATCGTGATAAAAGATGCCATTCATAAGGTAACGTTACATGTATAAATGCTGTAATGATGTACAACTAATTGTGTCATCATTACAAGCAAGAAACCGTCGCAATCTTTGAGATGTACGTACACAAAATGATTGACTGCAACAACCTTCAGGATAGGGGATTTTTTTTATTTAAACATGTTTTTATTTGCATCTAATAGGGGAGGTTCCAGTTTGTGTCTGAAACTAAATTTGTATTTTGAAAAAACGCTATGTACAACTTAATGACAAACCACCCAGTCTTCAGCCAAGACTGAATTGGTCAAATGACACGAAACGAGTTTCAAAGTGATTTTAAACAGCCCTGCCAAGGAAATAGATTGCAAAAAGGCGTCGACACTACAATAATTTACCAATGCTATTTCTAAATTCTATTCAGAAACCCTGGACATGAAAATCTTGCTTTCGGGTGGGCTTAAATATTTAACGTTTATGTTTTTTCAAATTACCTGAGGCATTTAATAAAAGTAATGTCCCATTTCAGGTAAATCGACCGATGTCGATGAAGAAAGACGGGATACAGACCCGGAAACGGAAACCAAAGACCGTCTCCAAAAAGTCCCCGTCTAAGGACACATCACTGCACGTGGAGCATCAGCAGCTTCAGCAGCAGCAGCAGCAGCATCAACAGCAGCATCTCAGTCAGCAACAGCAGCAGCACTACCCCCTCCATCATCACCAGCCTCATGTGTCGGCGCCCTCTACCGGGCTACTAGACCTCTCGGCGTCAAAGGCAGACAACTCAACAGGTGGATTTTTAATGCATTTTTCAATCATCCTCGATACTCCGTGGGTTACGCTCACTTTCGCGTGCAGATAGCGTAGGTGAGCGTAGCCACTGAGTATCGATGACGATTTCCGATATAAGTGAACTTCAAAAATGATAAATATTTTTAATTCTATTATTAAACATGCTTGATTTATTTTTAATCAATATCTATGGTTTTTAAATATTTTGAAATTTTAGATAAAAGTTTTGAAATGGTTTAAGATGGCATTTGCATAAAAATGCGATTTGTGGAGTTGTCGTTTTCAATTGACATTTTTCATAATTTTAAGGAGTGTTAATTGAAAGCAGTTCTAAGATTTAATGAATGAAGCCACATCCTTTTATCACAAATTCGTTTTGTTCTTAAATAAATCAGCGTCCCTTCATTTTTGTTTTCAATTCATGGGTTAAATTCACTCTCAAAACTTTTGATCCAACATTGCGAATAAAACTTTTTTTATTCTTGTATCAATCCGCATAGAGTATTGTGGTCGACCGTCACATACAGAGTGTGTTTTCCCCCCTACCCAGTACAACATTGTATACAGTACAGTATTGTATACAGTATTGTATAGAATATATAGTATTTCATTTTATTCTCTATCCGTATATGTTTTAATGTTAATTTGTTAACGCCCAGTGACGTCATTCAACCCAGAGCTGTCTGCATTCAGTACTGTTGTTGGTTTTCTGTAAGCACCATGTTCTATAGGAATGTTTAGGTAGACCTCATGTTGAGGACTAACGCTAAAAATAGAGAATTTAATCATTTTTAATTTGATTTCAATGAGCATTTTGCTTAACCGTAATACCGTTTCCTTTTCCAGTAACAGAGATGAAGCCGTTAATGAGTTCCTACCATAATTTGTACCAGACACACGGATCGGTGCTAGCGGCCCTTAGCACCCCTCCCCCCGCTCTTCTCCAGGTCGGCAGTCCGCCCCCAGGTGTGCTTCCTTCCATACACCATCTAAGTCCAGACTTCAGTATCGAACGCGCCTTGGCGATGAACCACCAAATGGTTCTGAAGCAAGAACCGCACATATTTGAACCGTCGCCGCCGAAAGCTATCCCTGTTTCAATTGGTATGGATTCGGAAACGAACTTGCGATCATCGCCTGAAGGAGCGCCACCTGGTGGTGACATTGTTCAACTCAAGGCAGCCATCGTGACACAAAACTGATTTGTAATGTCATTTTGGTTGTGACGCATGCGTATAGAAGTTAAAATGATGCAGTATATGAGTGAAAGCTTACTGAATCTACATGTACTTTTCTTTTGTAACTCAATCGTAAGATACCTAGCAGTAACGGACACTGTTTAGTTTTTGTATTATACAACCAAGCGTCATCGATCCATTTAAGGAGGTATGCTATCTTACTCAGATATGTATCTCCTAAACAAAAGAGTCCAAAACAGAGAAACCGTTATTTTATCGCTTATCAGTTGTAAAATGTCATTTTCTTTTTCATCAATTGATTACAAAATCGAAAGGTACAGAATAATGCAGGCAATACACGATGCCCTGTTGTTTGAACCATACAAAGTCGAACGAACCTTTTCCTTAAAAATTCAACACTACCAACCAGTAAGCTGACATGGTCCGATCAGACATGCTGACTTAATTAACTGATTCACTCCTACATATTTAAACTGGACTTGCCCAGTTTCTGATTTGGTAAGGTTCATATGTGACTTTAGGGGAGAATGGGTTATTAACGCAAAGTTCAAAGGAGATTTTCCCGGCAAAAATGGCAGATGAAATATGCGAGGTAGCATATACCCTTAATTCAACTTCCAACCTCTCCCTTCGTACAGAAGAAGTAGAAATGATGTCAAACTTGTGTTGAATGAAATGACAACAAGCAAAGTTATATAGCCTAAACGCACATATCATTTTTGTTAACTCTCAGGAATTCCATACTTTTCTACAATGAAAATATGTTGGGAGGTGACGAGTGGGAATCAATACTTAAATACAGCAGTATTGCATTAATACATTTGGGTACACTATGTCAAAGGTCGATTTTGTTTACCTTTAACCTTTTTTATTGAACTAATGTCATTTATATACATGTGTTATATATGATGGTCCCTTATTTGACAGGAAAACAACTTTTTCAACTGACCTAAAGTTTTAGTCTGGACTGTTCTTTAAATAGCATTTAGTCATCTTAAACATGTTCCATAACGAAGCTTCACAGAAATACCGAAATGGAACATACATAGTTAATCACGTGATCAAAGGATGACTTTGATTGGATATTTACATCATTTTTTAAAAACTTTAACCAGAGTTGTCGTTCCTTACCTCTTTCTTTCATTTTTGTCAATAGGTAATTCCAAGAAAATTTAGATTTATATTCCCTCCTTCAATTGATGGGATTTATTTAAATCTTTTATATTATATTAATCGAGATAAATAGAATTCATGTTTTATAATAACATTAAGACGATTTCTAGACACAGAAAAATCAACATGTTGAATTTCAGTTTTGCAAAGAATATTTTCTTAATTAGTTGGTGAAGGTTAATTTTATCGTAAGGGGAGATAACTCTTGATAGTGATTAATCAGTAATATCAATATCCAAGGCTGACATATTGTAATTTCTTTCTGTAATCAGCCTACAATTTTAGCAAAACATTGTACGTATCTTTTAAAGCCAGTATTGCTTAGAGCATAACGACCTCTCACACGTGTGTGTTTTACAAATGTCGAGAGCGGGGCCCGTATTCATGAAACCGTTCACTTTTCCCCGCTCAGATACTGTGCTCAAGCCCAATTTCTTGTTCCGGTGATAAATATTTAGTTTTTCGCATTTTAATAATGATTTGCACATGATTTTGATCGATTTTAGGACAGCTACAATGATTTAAGCGATTTGCAATAAGTTGGTTTGAGCAGAGAATCCATCCTTGAGCATGAGAAGGATTTCGTTTCATGAATACGGACCAAAATATATAGTACATTGTACAGGCAATGACTTGTCAACTGTATTTATAGAATCGAACCGCACGTAATACCGACTGATACATTTTTTAATTGAATTTTTTAATTTCAATTTAGTTAATTAAGTATAAATTCAGTTATATTGGTGAAGTTAAGGATATTTTCCTCCGCTCTTGTTTTTCATGTACCTATTCAATGTTTTCAAATGAAAAAAATATTACGTTTAAGAATTTTCTAAGCAAGCGAACGTTTTCAAAACTGGGACGGGCTGTTGAAACTAAATNCAAAATTAAGTGTCATCTGTCATCAATCATATAAATAATTGCCGATTGTATTTCATTTCTATGATAGTTTTGTTTGTTAGATTTGAATGCAAGGATGTATGTAATGGGAAATCACATTCGGTTAATCCCGGGAAAACATTCTGGTTTTCTTAAAGCAACTTTCGAGTATCCCCCGGAAGCTACATCCGGGTAATCCCGGAAACAACTTTCGGATAATCCCGGAAGCCACATTCGGGTATTCCCGGAAACCACATTCGGGTAATCGCATATAATTCCAACGATCACCAATAATACAGCCCGATAAATTTCATTTCAACATCGTCCTATCTTTTAATTTTTGTTTTTCAATTTGAAATACCAAAAAGTATACTGGTTCTCTTACAATTAAAGATATTGTCCATGCATAAATACTTCAGCCATTGGTTAGTTATTGTGTCCTCATATTTTATTCATTATTAAACAAAGAAATCAAAATAGTTGACTCTTGTTCGTGACTCAGTGGTATGGGTCATCGACATGCATACATATTCATATACTTTTCCGGATGAAGTATATGCATTCACTTCTAAATATCCGTATTAACGAGACGCAAAATTAGATATTGGCATAATATGCGCATTGTCTTACACTTAGTACATAAGTCTAAGCTTGTATATATATGTTTGAGTTATAGTCAAAACTCTGGTGGTATATGTGACGTCATAAGTTGTTGATCGGCTTGTAATATGTCATGTTAGCTTCATTTACGTCATAAGTCTATAAATAGATTCTACGATATTTTAAGTCGTTCGTCCATTTGTATGACGTCAGATGTCGTTCTCCGACGTGTGTTACCTAACCGGGCCCTGTGTAACGTCATTTACTTTATGACGTCATGCATTTTATTAACTTGTATGAATCGATCAGAGAATTGTATCGATTCGCAAATTTTAAACCTCAGATATGTTATATCAGTTAAAACCGGCTTGAAAAGCTATACTAATTATAGCGAATTTATCACACTGCAAATCTTGGAAGCACACGATGTGCAATTAAAAAAATACTCGACAGATCAATAACAGGAAAATCTCCAAAAAAAATGTTCTGTTAATCAAATCATATTCATGAAGTTACATCAAGCATAACAATCGAAATATATCTTTGTTTTTTGCACTAATACTTATAAAAGCTACAGTTATAAATTTCACTATTCTAAACTAGACTGCTGTGCTATAAATGTCATACTTATTTATTTTATTTTTTATTATTATCAAGAAATCATAGTTAAAATATTCTTAACTGCATTTGAGGCTCGCTTCACTTGTAGATTTGGCGAAATCATATTTTTTCAGAATCAATAAGAATGACAAATATCTTTCCATACGCAGTTTACCGGGCCTTGTACTAAATAGATAGCGTTCCAAATTAAAATGTATGGAACGCGATTTTGGCGGCAAAAAACATTCGTACGCTACTTTCAGCAGTAAAACTATGTCAATATTTCCTCTTGAACCTTTGAGAGAAGTCACTGTTCCTCTTGGCACGTGAAAATATAAAACCTGAAAAGCCGAAGTCTTCCGGAATGTATTTTCAAGCGGCTGATTGATTCGAGACTGACAAATTTATTTGCAATGTGACTTTATCTTGTATAAAGACGTCATATCTATAAAACCCGGATATCCACTAGTAACTTACAGTTTGACGTTAATATTTGTTCGTCAAAGTAACTGTATATTTGTGCACATTAGTAAATGTCCTGAAAAATACTTATTAATTAATTTTAGATATAAATGTGTTCATGATGTAGATATCTATAAAGATATTGTATAGATGCTGTTATTTTTTTTTTATCTATAATACATATTTACATATTGGGTCGTTGTCCATTGCATCAAAATTCATATCACGGAAAACAAAGCCTATTATTTGAATAATTTTCAACAAAATATGGCTTTGTTATCGTATACAATGGAACTTAGTAATCTGAACGATACTATCTAAGAGAAAATAAAAAACAACTACGATAACGAAAGCAGTTGCTTCTAGATTAGTAAGTTCCACTGCGATGTAATCAGGGGCGATAACTGGGGTATTATTGGACAACCACTGGTGTCCCGCGGTAGATTAGCCTAGACGGTATTTAGGGTAAAAAACGATCACATCTGTATATATATATATAATTACTATTTATCAGGCGTAATGATTTTGATTATTTTTTACATTTTAATTATCGTGTAATTCGAATCGACCATATCTGTAATCCATTAGAATTGATTAATATCAAACTTTATTGCATTACCGTTCAGAAATGGCTGGAATATTCCTTGGATGACGTTTTCCATTTTGAGACATACTATTATTCATCTGAAATTTGCATCTGAAATTCCACATCTTATCGTATTTCTAGTCAGCGATTTTCTTCATTAACAGGTGTGATTTTTTTAGAGAGTCTAAAGGAATGCGTTTTTTATAATGACACCCATTGTTAGAACAAGTGCATTGTTTTGTCGTATTTTAACCCCACAATAAGCTGCTCATAATGCTGTCCAGATTTTGGTTTTAACAGTTTAGCTACTCCTGATATTTACGTCCATGAAATATCACTTGAAATCCAAGACTTTGATGAAGAAGTAGAACGGAACACAATCCTAAATGTACGACCATATTGGGTCTGATTGCAAGAGGGGAGGTAACTCGGGACAAAAATGTGAAAATGACGTTAAAGATCCCTGTTATTCTGCGAGTGAACATGTAACGGAGTCAGGCCGGAATTGAAACACTGAACCTCTGATCACTCACGTTCGAACCATCTGAGTATCTTTAAAATTAAGGGGTTCCGAATTCGATACACAATCTTTTGTGTAGATAAATTATTTGTTTCAAACCTTGTATTTCGAAAATAGCAAACTTTTTGATCAGAAGTACTTCCCTGGCCCGTCTCGATTACAGTTGTATTGAAAACGAAATCAAACAGAGTTTACTGCAGGTATGAAAAATTGCAGCGGCAAATCTCTAATAATTTTCCAACAGTGGAACAGGGATCCTTAAACGTTACCATGCATAGGATTTCTGTAACTATAAATCTGATGGAAAGCTTGTCAAAAAGTACTTCAATTCCCCCATTTTATTAATATGTCCTCGACTCGCAGCATTTCAAAATGACTCTTTATCATTTTTTAAACCAATCAAGTGTAAGAAAATATTCAAACCGAGTTGCTTATACAAATCATATTTGCTACCTAGATAGTTTAGGTAGGTTTCATGTAAAATGATAGAAATAATTACAATATGGTGATCTTTCAAACGATTTGTTTTTTTACATCATGTAAGTATGCCATACAGTGCCTCATTTACGTCATATCTGGTGTTGTGTATGCAAATTTTAACCAATGAAATGTTGTGATCATTTAAATCCATCCAATCATATTACGCCGTTAGTGTTGCCAATGAAAATTGTCTTGCCTTATATATGATGTACGTCATTTTACATTAAATTCTATTGGATAATACATTCCACGTTACTGAATATTGTCTTGTTTTTCTTATTTGATTGATGAAACGTGACACAACGCCGATTAAAACAATATCCAAATAACGGTCAACGACAAAATATCATCCAACGCCAATAACACAATATCCTTTTATCCCAATGACAGACTATCTTAACGGACTATCGAAAAAAATCCTAAACACTAATGACTTACATCCTAAATACGCCACTGGCAAACATCCAATACGCCAATGACAAACATCATAATACGCAAATGACAAATAGCTTAAAGTGCTAACGACAAAATATCCTTTAACTCCGGTGACAAATATCTTAGACCGCCAGTGAGAAATATTCTGCAACGCAAATGAAAACGCAAGTAACACAAATTCTGCAAAAACTTTAACAACAAATACCGAAAGTCGATCTAAACGCCGAAAACATGTAAAATTACTCAAACCATCTAATTTTAGGTAGAAATAAGTATAGCTGCTGTAACTCGTCAGAACAGGTTGCTGAACAAGGCCTAGAGCATGATCAAGTCTTCCACACTCCATTTAATTTATTAAGTTGTTAGTGTTAGTTACAGATTCCTTTAGTTACAGTTACAGATTCAGATTTAGATTCAGATTCAGATTTAGTTACAGATTCCTTTATCTAAATATTTCTGTCAGACCTGAGGCCAGTAGATCCGATTGTCCTTTAAGTCATTATAATTATTATTAGCGGATTATGGGCCTCACGACATTACATGCTTGTGACGTTGCCTTAATGTTCTTAAATTCTATGGTATATTATTTACTTGTTTCTTACGCGTATCCAGTAACTTTTCAATATCACCTATTTATTATTTTTAAACTATAAAAACTTGAAGTTGGACTTTCTGCATGGACTAATCTTTCTCTTACCCTGGACAGGTGTATCCGCACTTTTACCGGTGTGAGATTTCCTTGTCTCACCCTAGGGTTAAGACGGGGGGATTTCCCTATTCATAACACAATGGCACGACATCACAATGGGAGAACAGGGTAAGAGAAAAAGAATCATTCACCCCCTTGTGGATGAGATAGGGGAATCTCAACCCTCGAGGAAAGATTCTTAAGTTGCCAAACACTCGGCAAAGCCTCGGGTTGAGATTCTCCTATCTCACCCCCAAGGGGGTAAAATATTCTATTAGTCTTTGACAGGCTGTCAGTAAAACCTTAGTTTTTACAACACATGTCCATAATCCCTACTTGATTACATTGGTCATTTTATCACATGACCTTTGAAATCAAAGCTTTTATCTACGATGTGTTCCCTTGACTTGACTTTAAAGGGGATTTGGCACAGATTATTACAACTTCTGAAGCCATTTTCTATCAGCATTACAATGACGTAGACTGACAATTACAAGTGATGTTTATCCTGAGTAACCATGTATTAATATTTGAATATTTTATATGAGTATATTGAAATCAAAGTACAGAATTACTTGGTCGTTCTTAATATCGCTATGGCATTTATTTTACCTTTTAGGAACAG